GAGACGGATGGATGAGTCCACAGATGGCTGAGTCTTCAGACGGATGGGATGGGATGGGTGGCCAGAGGGATGAAGACAGCTCAGCTGTGGGGGTGGTAGGAGGACCTTTGGCCCCTGTGCTGCCCCCCTGACCCCCTCTGGCCCCCCAGGAGGAACAGGCCAACACCAACCTGGCCAAGTTCCGGAAGGCGCAGCACGAGCTGGACGAGGCCGAGGAGCGCGCCGACATCGCCGAGTCCCAGGTCAACAAACTCCGGGCCAAGAGCCGCGACATCGGGGCCAAGGTGGGGCCTCCCCCCGTCCCCCCCGACTGACACCCCCACGGCCATCCCACAACCGCCCCTGCACCCGCTGTCTTCTCTCCCACCCCACCCCAGAAGCTGCACGATGAGGAGTGACCCCCCACCCCATGGGGACCCACCACCCCTTGGGGGACCACCACGATGAGTGACCACCATGATGAGTGACCACCATGATGAGTGACCACCGCCACGAGTGACCCGCCACCACCTCCACGAGGGACCCACCATGAGAAGGGACCCCTCCCCCATCACAATGAGGGACCCCCCACCATGATGATGGACCCCCCACCACCAACACGAGGGACCCCCCATCGTGATACCACTGACCCACCTCCACCACCACGCTGGACCCTTGAGGATGATGAAGGACCCCCCATCAAGGAACCACCACCAGGAGGGACCCACCAACCCCATGCTGGACCCACCCCGTCACGAGTGACACCCCCGTCCAGCCCCACCCCCTCGTCCAAGACGAGGGGATGCTGATGACATCATTAATTAATTAATGACCCACGGGACCACTCGCTGTGTCGGGGGAGGGACACAATGTCCCCTCTCCCACCCCGCCCCAAAAACACGACCCAGAGCAGCAGCAGGTGTGGGACAAGGTTTCTTTTGGGGGGTTTTGGGGGCTGTGAGGCGGGGGCGGGGCAGGACAGGGGGGACGAGGGGACATCGGCGGGGGAGGGTGGCTTTCAGGTCTCCTCCACGTCGGGGTCTGGAGGAGGAAGAGGAAGAGGTTGGAGATGAAGGACAATCTGGGTGTCCCCAGCCGAGGTGCCCTGGTGTCCCCACCCTCGGTGTCCCCTCACCCTGTCCCAGCCGGGCCCCACCCGTGTCCGGTACGTGACGAAGACGTCGAAGGCGAAGACGAAGGCGAGGACGAGGCTGAAGGTCTGGGGGAGGGGAGAGGGGCAGATGGACCCCGGTCAGAGGGGGGGCCAGGGCTGGGGGAGAGGGGGTTTGGGGACACTCACGAAGGTGGTGGCGGCCAGGGCGTCCCGGGACGAGGCCAAGGCCACCAGGGCCACCACGAGGAAGATGAAGGTCCCGCTGACGGCCCGGAGCAGGTCCTGGGGGACACGGGGAGGGGACACTGTGGGGACGTGGGGGGCACCAGGGGGACGTGGGGGGTGACAAAGGGGGTAGGAGTGGTGACAATGGGGGGACACCGTGGGAGGACATGGGGACAGCGCAGGGACAACGTGGGGACATGGGACAAATGGGGGGGCACCGAGGGGACACCACGGGGACACAGGAGGGGTGACAAGGAGGGGACAGGAGGGGGACACGGTGGGACACACCACAGGGACACCATGGGAACATGGGGGGTGACGAAGGGACATGAAGGACCCCATGGGAACATGGTGGGACACACCACGGGGACACCACAGGGACATGGGGGGTGACAGGGGGACACGGAGGGACAGCGGGGGGACACAACATTGGGGGACACAGTGGGACAGGGCAGGGACACTGTGGGGACATGGGGGGACACACACACGGGGGCCTCCGTGGGGGGACAGCACCCTGGGGAAAGCGGGAGATGGCAGGATGGACCCGGGGGGACACCAGGGGGACACCCTGGGGGCACGGGGGGGACACGGGGGAGGGTCACAGCACCCCGGGGGTCACCGGGAGCTGCCCGAGGGTCCCGCGGGTGTCCCCACGAGGTGACACCGCCGGTGTCCCCCCTGAGGGCCACGTACCAGACAGGCCCCGTAGCCGGGGGGCAGCTGGGGGGGGTCCCGCAGCAGGAGCCCCCCCAGGGCCACCACCCCCCCCAGAGTCTGCAGCAGCGCCGGGGCCAACGTGGGGGGGGCAGGGGGGGCCAGGAGCCCCACGACCACCCCACAGAGTGCCTGGGGACATGGGGGTCGGCGAGGGGTCATGGGGGTCAATGGCATCCCCAGAGACCCCAATCCCATGCCAAACTGCCCCAGTGCCTCCCAGTCCCCAGTGCCAGTTCCCTCCCCACTCCCAGTAGCCCCGCCCCAGTGTCCCCAGGGCCCCAGTGCCACAGTACCTGTCCTCACCAGTGCCCCCAGTGCCCCCACCAGTTCCCCTCCCAGTTCCCCTCCAGTGCCCCCAGTGCCCCCAACAGTTCAGCCCCCAGGCTCCCCGTACCAGTTGTCCCCACGCTGTTCCCAGTTCTTCCCCCAGTGCCCCCCAAACCAGCTGCCCACCTGCTACCCTCACACCAGTTCCCCAGTGACCCCAGCAATCCCAGTGCCCCCATACCAGTGTCCCCAGTGCCCCAGTTCCCCAGCACTCCCAGTGCCCCAGTACCAGTCCCCCAGTGTCCCCAGTGCCCTCGTACCAGTTCCCCAGTGCCCCGTACCAGTTCCCCCAATCCCCCCAGTTGCTCCCAGTGCCCCTGTACCAGTCCCCCCAGTTCCCCCAGCACTCCCAGTGCTCCCAGTACCAGTCCCCCCAGTTCTCCCAGCACTCCCAGTGCCCCGTGCCAGTCTCCCAGTGTCCCCAGTGCCCGTACCAGTTCCCCCAGCAGGAGCCCCTGGGGTTCTCAGGACCCCCAGGTCGAAGGCCCCGGGGGGCGGCTCCGGCTGCCCCATGACGGGGGGTCCCATGGGGGCGTCCGGGAGTCCCTGCAGGGTCCAGGGGGTCCCTGGGAGTTCTTGGGGGCCGGGGGTCCCTGGGGGTGTGGGGGCGGGGACCCAGGGGTGACACGTGGGTGCCCCTCCCACCCCCTGTGACAGGCACCGGCGGGACTGGGACAAAGGAGCCTTGTTGGGGGACTGGGAGGGACTGGGGGACTGGAGGGGGGACTGGGAGGGACTGGGAGCTGCTGGGGGGGCTCGGGGCATATACTGGGATTGACTGGGGGGCACTGGGAGAGACTGGGGGGAACTGGGAGATGCTGGAAGGCAACTGGGGGCTGCCAAGGGGGGAACTGGGAGGGACTGGGAGCTGCTGGGGGGTCCTGGGGTGTACACTGGGATTGACTGGGATGGACTGGGAGAGACTGGGGGGGTCCTGGGGTGTACACTGGGATGGACTGGGAGTGACTGGGAGCTGCTAGGGTGTACACTGGGATGGACTGGGAGTGACTGGGAGAGACTGGGGGGATCCTGGGGTGTACACTGGGATGGACTGGGAGTGACTGGGAGCTGCTAGGGTGTACACTGGGATGGACTGGGAGTGACTGGGAGAGACTGAGGGGGTCTTGGGGTGTACACTGGGATGGACTGGGAGAGACTGGGGGGGTCCTGGGGTGTACACTGGGATGGACTGGGAGAGACTGGGGGGGTCCTGGGGTGTACACTGGGATGGACTGGGAGTGACTGGCAGGCACAGGAAGGAGACTGGGAGACAACTGGGAGGGACCTGTGTCTTACTGGGGCAGGCGGGGGGGTGCTCTGGAGCTGTACTGGGAGGCACTGGGGAACAACTGGGATTGACTACAGAGCACTGGGAGGCACTGGGGTGACTGGAAGCTGCTGGGGGGGACACATACTGGGGTTGACTGGGTGGTAAGTGGAAGACACTGAGGGGGGACTGGGAGGCAACTGGGAGCTGCTGGGGGGGCTGGGGTGCATCCAGGGGCTCCCAGTCAGTCCCAGTTGTTCCCAGTCACCTTCTAGAGCCTCCCAGTTGCCTCTCGATTGCCCCCAAGTGACTCCCGGTGGTTCCCCGTCACGCCCTGATCACTCCCAGTCACTCCCAGTTGCTCCCAGTACTCCCCCAGTCACTCCCAGTGCTCCCCAGTCATTCCCAGTTGCTCCCCAGTTCCCCCCAGTTGCTCCCAACTGCGGCTGCTCAGCCGCTGGGGGGGGGACACCCTAAAAATACCCAGGGGAGGGGAAGGAAGGGGAGGGGCAGGAGGGGCTGGCTCGGGCCCGATCCCGGCTAAAAAGCCAGAGCAGCCACGTGTGCCCTCGGGGGGCGGGCAGGGGGCCTGGGGGCCTTGGGGGCTGGAGCAGGACCCTGACCCCACACCCACTACGGGGGGCAGGTACCCACGGGGTCGGGGTCATGGGGGCAGGGGGTCATGGGGGCTCTGGGGCTGTGTGGGAAGGGGATTGGGGGTCGAGGGGGCCGGGGGACAGCAGGGAGGGGACACTGGGGGGGACTTGAGCGCTGTGGGAATGGGACTGGGGTCCTGAGGGGGCTGGGGGAGCACTGGGGGACACGGGTAGGTGGGACTGGGATTGGGGTCATGGGGGCCGGGGTGACACCAGGGGAGGGACACAGCGGGTGGGAGCAGGATTGGGGTCATGGAGGGGCCAGGGGGACACCGGGGAGGGACACAAGGGGTGGGAGCAGGATTGGGGTCGACGGTGCTGGGGCGTGGTCAGGGGCTGAGCCCAGGGGGCAGGGAGGGACTCCGGGGTTTGGATTGGGGTCCCGGGGTCTGGGGTGTGCCTGGAGGAGCAGGAAGTGACCCCAGGACCAGCGGGGTTGGGGTCTCAGGACATGGAGGCGGGGGAGGAGAAGGAGCGGCCCCAGGACTGGGACGGGGGGTCCCAGGGTGTGACCGGGGGGTCTCCTGGCTGGAGGCACAGCCGGTGATCCCCCTTTCCCTCCGTGCTGACCCCACCCCTCCTCCCCAGCCCCTCACCGAGGACACAGCCCGGTCCCCCAGCGGCCCCGTGGTGTCCCCGCAGTGTCCCTGTGGCGTCCCCGCAGTGTTCCCGTGGTGTCCCCGCGGTGTCCCCGCGGTGTCCCCGCGTCCCCCCCATGTCTCTGCTGGCCCTGCTGCTGGCGCTGCCGGCGCTGACCGCGGCCCCCACGCTGTCGCCGTCGCCCGGCGCGGCCCTGCAGGAGGTGGCGCTGGACATGGCCCCGCTGGCCTTCGATGACCGGTACCGGGGCTGCGGCCCCGCCATGGCCGCGGCGCTGCCGGCGCTCAACCGCTCCGAGTTCCTGCTCAACGGGGACTTCGCGGCGGGCTGGGCGCTGGCCGCGGCCGAGTGGCGCGTCCGGGGGTCCCCGGCGCCCCCCAAGTCCCCTCTGCCCCCCGCGCAGGCCGTGGCCCTGCTGGCCTACACGGCTCCCGTGCCGCTGCACCGCGCCTTCAACGCGGCGTCGCGCGTGGCCGGGCGCTCCCCGCGCCACTACCGCGACGGGTTCCCCTTCAAGGCGCTGCATTTCCTGCTGAGCGCGGCGCTGGCCGCGCTGCGGGACGCGCAGGGCCGGCCGTGCCACCGCGTGTTCCGCGGCGTGCGCGGGGTGCGCTTCGCGGCGCGGCCCGGACGGAGCGTCCGCTTCGGCCACTTCGCGTCGGCGTCGCGGCGGAACCGCAGCTCGTGGGCGTTCGGCAGCGACACCGTGTTCCACGTGCGCACCTGCCACGGCGCCGCCGTCAGAGACTTCTCCTTCTTCCCCGACGAGGACGAGGTGCTGATCCCGCCCTTCGAGACCTTCGAGGTCACCCAGGTCGCCGAGGTCGCCGCGGGCGCCGGGGCCGGGGTGCGGATCTGGCTCCGCTCCACCGGCACCCTCAGCAACTACAACTGCGAGTGGCTGCGAGGTGAGGGCAGGGGGGCACCCACGGGGGGGCACAGGGGACAGGGACACCCACTGTGGGTACAGGGACAGGGACACCCACTGCTGGAGACACACACGGGGGGCACAGGGGACAGGGACACCCACTGTGGGGACAGGGGACAGGGACACCCGCTGTGGGCACGGGGATGGGGACACTCACTGTGGGTGTGGGGACAGGGGCTGGGGACACCCGCACCACTCAGGGGGGACAGGGACAGGGACCCCCCAGTCCAACCCCCCCTTCCCCCCACAGAGCAGCACTGCGGGGACAGGGACGGGCCGTGTGTGTTCGATGCAGGTGAGACGGGACCCCCTGCCCCCCCTCGGCTCCCGCTGTCCCCCAAAACCTCCTGATCCCCCCTGGGCCCCTCCAACTGTCCCCAGTCCCCCCTGTCCCTCTCCTCGGTTCCCCCCAGCTCCCCGTGACACCCCTGGAACCCCTGACCTCACAAGACCCCCTGGGACTTCCCTCCAACACCCCCAGCTCCTCCTGACCCCTTAACCCCCCGGCTTCCCCTGATACCCCAGCAACGCCCTGACCCTCCCCCAGCTCCCCTTGACCCTCCATTGCCCCCTGACCCCCCAGCTCCCCTTGACCCTCCATTGCCCCCCTGACCCCCCCAGCTCCCCTTGACCCTCCATTGCTCCCCTGACCTCCCCCAGGTCCCCCTGACCCCCCTCTTTGCCCCCTCCAGGCAGGAGCATCCTCGGGGACCCCCCTGCCCTCGGAGGGCTCCTCCTGGTCACCGCGGCCCTGGCAGTGGCCACCGGGACCCCCTGAGCCAGCAGGGGACAGCAAGGGGACAGGGACGGAGCCCCCGGTGCCAGCAGGGCAGTGGGACAGGACAGGTGACACGGGGACCCCCGTGCAGGAGGGACACCTGACGTGCCATGGCCGGGGGGGGGAAGGCGAACTTTTTTGGGTTGGTTTTGTGGATTTTTTTCCCCTTTCCAATAATTTTATTTTCCCTTCCCAATAATTAAACCGGTTTTGTCTCGACCCACGAGTTCTCATCTGGTGGGGGAGGAAGAGCAGGAGGAGGAGGAGGAGGAGGAGGAGGAGGGGGAGAGGGACCCCCAGGGCAGGGGGGTGAAACTGGGTGGCCTCGAAGGTCCCTTCCCACCCCAAAGCACCCCGGAATTCCAGGATTCCCTGCGGGCAGGGGTGGGCGCTGCAGCCCCGAGGAAGAGGAGGAGGAGGGAGATGAGGAGGGGGAGGGTGAGGAGGAGGGAGCTGAGGAGAAGGAAGAAGGTGAGGAGGAGGAGGAGGAAGGAGCCGCCGTCCTCCCCGACCCTCGGGGGGGTCAAGGGGCGCCGTGAGGTGGCAGCTGGCACAGCCCCGTGACCCCCGATCCCGATCCCGATCCCGACCCCGCTGGCGATGCCGATGGCGGCGGGATCAAAGCGGCCCCTCCCCACACCCGGACGAAGGGGGGGGGGACACAAAGCGCGACCTTCGGCCCCGGGAGCGCCCGAGAGGCCCGGGAGGGATCCCGGAGATGGAACGGGCTGGGGGGGAGCGCCGAACCCACCCCTGCCCCCCTGCAGGGCAGGGACCCCTCCCCTGCGCCGGCGGCTCCAGCAGGGCCGGGGCAGCCACGGGAATGTGGGAATCGCGTCCCCTCCAGGGTTCAGGCTGGAACGAAGGGATTTCAACCTGAATTAAGGGAATCAGACCCGAACTGAGGGATTTAGGGCCTGAACTGAGAGAGTCAGACCCGGCTTAAGGGATTTCAGCCGGAATTCAGGGATTTCCACGCGGATTAAGGGATTTAAACCTGGTCAGAGGGGGCTGAGTGGAACTGAGGGATTCCGACCTGGCTAGAGGGATTTGGATCTGGTTTAGGGGATTTCAACCTGAACTAAGGGAATCAGACCTGGGATGAGGGAATTAGACTTGATTTAGGAGAATTAGGCCTGGTTGAAGGGATTTGGTCCCGAGTTAAAGGATTTGGACCTGACTTAAGGGCTGTAGTCCCGAGTTAAGAGAATGAGATCTGAATTAAGGGATTTTAGACCCGGTTGAAGAGATTTAGACCTGATTTAAGGGATTTCAACCTGCACTAAGGGATTTTTTTTGCCCCAGTTTAAGGGAATTAAACCTGTTTTAAGGGAATTAAACTTGTTTTAAGGGATTTAGATCCGGTTTAAGAGAATCAGATCTGAATACAGGGATTTCAACCTTAATTGAAGGCTTTTGACCTGAATTAAGAGATTTTCATCTGAATGAAAGGAGTTAGGCCTAACTCAAAGGATTTCAACCTGGTTTAGGGGATTTCAACCTGAATTAAGGGATTTATGGCCCAGTTTAGGGTGTTTAGGCCTGAATGAAGGGATTTAGGCTTGAATGAAGAGATTTAGGCCTGAATTAAGGGATTTTCACCTGAATTAAGGGATTTTTCACCTAGTTTAAGGGACTTCAGCCTGGTTTAAGGAATACAGACCTGTGTGCAGGGAATTAGACCTCTTTTATAGGATTTCCACATGAACTAAGGGATTTCGGTCTGATTTAGGGGAATTAGACCTGTCTTATAGGATTTTGACCTGAATTAAGGGATTTCAGTCTGATTTAGGGGAATTAGACCTGGCTTATAGGATTTTGACCTGAATTAAGGGATTTCAGTCTGATTTAGGGGAATTAGACCTGGCTTAAAGGATTTCCACATGAACTAAGGGATTTCAGTCTGATTTAGGGGAATTAGACCTGGCTTATAGGATTTCCACATGAACTAAGGGATTTCAGTCTGATTTAGGGGAATTAGACCTGGCTTAAGGCCTGTGCCACGTCAGGAGCTGGAGCTGGGTGTGTCACCAGGAAGTGCAGGGTTAATTGCTCCTAATTAGCCCTGGATCGATGGGCTATCTGGGGAGACATCGGCCCAGGTGCCACCCCTGACCCCGCTCACCCCGCCCGGGGCATCCCCGAGGGCCTGGCAGTGCCACCCTGGCACCAGCACGGGGCAAAATCCACGGCCCTGTGGGGTCTGAACCCTGGGAGAGCAGCACCGGGGTGGGATCAGCCACAGCTCGGCCGAGGGACAGGGACAGGGACAGGGGGCACGGCCAGGGGTGGGTGGGACACCTCGAGACACCCCATGCTGTGCCCCCCACCCTGCTGTCAGACCCTGGTGTGGGACACGGGGCCTTCCAGGGCTGTCCCAGGACACCCCATACTGTGCCCCCACCCTGCTGTGGGTGCTGAGGGACCCTGGTGTGGGACACGGGGCCTTCCAGGGCTGTCCCAGGACACCCCATGCTGTGCCCCCACCCTGCTGTGGGTGCTGAGGGACCCTGGTGTGGGACATGGGGCCTTCCAGGGCTGTCCCAGGGCCCCCCACCCCGCTGTGGGTGCTGAGGGACCCTGGTGTGGGACACGGGGCCTTCCAGGGCTGTCCCGGGTGGTCCGTGCGACACGGGGGGAGCAGGGACAGCCCAGCACCCACGGGAGACCCCAATGCCAGGGAGGACCCCACACCCAGGGGGGGGACCAGAGACCCTTGGTGTGAGCTGAGCACCCAAAGAGGAGCTCAGCACCCAAAGGTGACCCCAGGACCCACAGGTGAGCCCAGGACCCACAGGTGGGCCCAGCACCTGGGTCTGGGTGCTTGGGCATCATCCAGGGACCAGAGGGTGAGCCCAGCACCCAGGTGTGAGCTCAGTACCCCCAGGTATGAGCCCAGCACCCAGGTATGAGCCCAGCACCCAGGTGTGAGCCCAGCACCCAGGTATGAGCCCAACACCCCCAGGTATGAGCCCAACACCGAGAGCTGAGCCCAGCACCCCCAGGTATGAGCCCAGCACCCAGGTGTGAGCCCAGCACCCAGGTGTGAGCCCAGCACCCAAGTGTGAGCCCAGCACCCAGGTATGAGCCCAGCACCCCCGGGTGTGAGCCCAGCACCCCCAGGTATGAGTCCAGCACCCGGGTGTGAGCCCAGCACCCACAGGTATGAGCCCAGCACCCAGAGGTGAGCCCAGCACCCCCAGGTATGAGCCCAGCACCCAGGTGTGAACCCAGCACCCAGGTATGAGCCCAACACCCAGGTATGAGCCCAGCACCCAGGTGTGAGCCCAGCACCCAGGTATCACCCAGAGGTGAGCCCAGCACCCCCAGGTATGAGCCCAGCACCCGCAGGTATGAGCCCAGCACCCAGGTATGAGCCCAGCACCCAGCGGTGAGCCCAGCACCTCCAGGCATGAGCCCAGCACCCCCAGGTATGAGCCCAGCACCCAGGTGTGAGCCCAGCACCCCCAGGTGTGAGCCCAACACCCAGGTGTGAGCCCAGCACCCAGGTGTGAGCCCAGTACCCAGAGGTGAGCCCAGCACCCCTAGGTGTGAGCCCAGCACCCCAGGTATGAGCCCAGCACCCAGAGGTGAGCCCAACACCCAGGTGTGAGCCCAGCACCCAGGTGTGAGCCCAGCACCCAGGTATGAGTCCAGCACCCCCAGGTGTGAGCCCAGCACCCAGATGTGAGCCCAGCACCCAGGTGTGAGCTCGGCACCTCCAGGTGTGAGCCCAGCACCCAGGTGTGAGCCCAGCACCCAGGTGTGAGCTCAGCACCTCCAGGTATGAGCCCAGCACCCAGGTGTGAGCTCAGCACCTAAAGGAGAACCCAGTACCTGTTCTTGGTGCTGGGCATCATCCAGGGACCAGGGGGCCAGTCCTGCACCCAGGGCTGAGCTGAGCACCAGGAGGGACCCCAATACCCTGGGGGACCAGGACCCCCCCGGGGGACCCCCAGCCCTGCAGGAGCCAAGCGCCCGAGCCGGGAGCCGGAGCTGCCCGAGGTGGCCGCGGGTGTCCCCGGCCCCGCGCCGTGTGGAAAGGGGTGGGGGCAAACTGCGGCTTGGCAGCACGGCACGGAGCGCGGAGCGGGCTGGTTTAGCACGGCACGGAACACGGAGCCGGCTGGTTTAGCACGGCACGGAACGCGGAGCCGGCTGGTTTAGCACGGCCCGGAGCGGGCTCAGCACGGCACGGAACGCGGAGCTCAGCACGTGGCACAGGCCGTGGCGCGGCGTGGTGGGGCACGGGGGGTCCCTGACGCCACAGGGTGCCCGGTACTGCGACATCTGGGCCATGTGTGCCGTGCCGTGTGTCCCCATGCAGTGTCCCCATGCAGTGTCCCCATACAGTGTGTCCCCATGCAGTGTCCCCCCGTGCCACACGTATGTCCCTGTGCCCCGTGTGCTCCTCCCCGGCACTGATGCCCCCGTGCCTGTCGTGCCAGGGTGGCTCCGGTGGGGGACACGGGGCCTTCCCAGTGGTGTCCCCTGCCCTGGGGAGAGTGTGGGGGCAGCTCAGCACCCCCAGGCGAGCCCAGCACCCAAAGGGGAGAGTTCAGCACCTGGGCTTGGTCCTTGGGCATCATCCAGGGACTGGAGGGGCAAATCCAACACCCAGGACTGAGTGGAGCCCCTTGCCATGAGCTGGGCACCCACAGGTGATCCCAGCACCCACAGGTGATCCCAGCACCCACAGGTGAGCTCAGCACCCACAGGTGAGCTCAGCACCCACAGGTGAGCTCAGCACCCAGGACCGAGTGGAGAGCCCGGGTTGATTTAGGAACCCACGGGCAAACTGGGCCCCTGGGGGTGACCCTGTCCCCCCAAGCAGTGCTGCAGGTGCCCAAGGTGCCCGGGCAGACCCCGAGGCCCCCGAGCACCCCCTGGGCACTCTCAGCCCCCGGGCGATGCTCACACCGGGAAGCACCTTGGCACAACCCGGGGTTTCGGTGCCATCCCCGGGTCCAGGGGTGCCCCAGCGCCCACCCGGGGGTGCCCCCCTGCCTTGGGTGCCCAGCCCGAGGGGTGCCAGGCCGGGGCTGCCGGGCGCAGGCGTGAGCCTAAGGAATGGTTAACCCGGGCC